GACAACGGACGGACGACGGACCACGGACGCAGGGTGATTTGAATAGCCCACCATCAGATGATGGTGGGCTAAAAATCTATTCCAAGCTTATTGCTGGGTAGTGTTTTAAATACATGAGGCCAATATTTCCTATTTTGCATCGTGAACATATTCACTGGTGTTTGCTGAGCACCTGATTCCATATCATAAAGAGCATACTACATTTACATTAGTGAAATTGTACCTAATATTTCGCTGCTGTTCACAATTAAACAAGTTTTCTCTAAATACCAATACAATTGTATAGTGAATATAAAACCTTTATGAAAAATAGCTGATATACAGCATGCCATCATCAGTGGAAAGGAAATTTAAGAATGCACAGGGAAATGCAGACATTCGTAGGGATGTATTTACAAGGATAGACAAATAGAAGCACAGGGTCTTGTTGGCAAGTGTTGCAAGATAAGATACACTAGGAGGGTTTCTCAAGGTAAATGCAACCAAATGTATCTTAACATCCAACAAATGTCAACAAGACCCTGTGGCCTTAGCTTCTACATGTAGTAATACTGCTGTGGAACAGCTTACCTGGTCATGATCTGCTAAAGAACAAAATGATATAACGGTAGGAATCTATATGGAGGTGGAACATTTTCCTTCATTTTTATATTGATGAAGCAATACCAAAACCTCAATTTAATAACCTCAGTTCCACTTGCCACCACCTCGCTTATGGACAACATATTATTTCAAAGTTCCATTTCTTCTTTTTCTTAAGAACTACTTCATATGTTTCCTTCAATTTATTGCTTAAACCCTTTACAAAGCAAAACATTTTCTGTACAAATGGTGTCAGTATAATGAGGTACCTTTATTTTAATTACCAGCAATATTTTCGGCATGCTACCAAAATAATTTAAGTATTAATATTATGATGAGAAAAAGAAATTGACTAATTCATCTTATTCATTCAATGATACTTTGTATGGGTAATATACTTAATACATACATTCTTGTTCCATCTTACCAGATTTTACATTTGTCATGAAGAGTAAAACATGTTCAAACCATTTACTATTACACAACTCTATCCAGACAGAAGTCCCTGCAATATATAGATTCACATGTAAACTCAGATAGCTTACTTAAACACTGTAAAACTTTGTCTTTAAGTCATATAACAATATTAAACCCATCCAAACATCCATATATCTTCACAGGCATTCCACTACAGTTACACTGATTCAAACTGTTAGAAGACACTGACTACCTTTTTGTTCCTATAGCGGTTGTTCCGACACACTTTGAAATCTTTGATTGAAGAGAATTGAACAATTTATTCTTCAATTTGGAAACAAGAACCACAATTGTCAGTATCTGCAGTTTGAAGAACCACTTAGAACAGACACTAGTGTCATCCAAAGAAGGCCCCTCCAGTTCCACCAAGGAAGGACCTTTGCTTGGTATTGGGAGCAGGAAGAAAGCCGAGGGTATTGCCTCCCCCACGAGATCCCCGCCCCCTAGATTTGCCTCCCCTTCCACGCTTGGATGAGCCTGAAGAATTTTGATAGGTGTACTGACTGAATCCTCCGCTGCTCTCTGAATTCCTGTAAACAGAAAGTAGTTAACTTTATAAAGTTTGTATAGAATTCCAAGGTGAAAAATCCTGTATTCATATCAATATCTAGAAATGGAAGTGCAGCTATTAGGCTAATACTCCTGCACCCCATGTTTGTCAGTGACTGAATAGTCTAAAGGAGGCGCACCATATGGCAAGGTCACTAGAAAGGGGCCTGGGGTCACTACAGAAGGTCACAAGTGTATGGTTGCTGAAGACTACTAAAGAGTCACAAGAACAAGCTCTAGCTAGATCTCTAGATAGGGGCCAGGGATGACTACAGAAGGGTCCCTAGAAAAGGGTCCGGAATCACAAGAAAAAAGTCCACAGAAAGGGGTCTGTGCTACTACAGAAGGATAGATTTAACTAGAAATGAACCAGGGATGACAACAGAAATGTTACCAGAGTATTGTTCTTAGAAAGGGGTAAGGAGTAACAAAAGGATGGGCAAAAAAATGGGATCCCTAGAAAGGGGTCTGGGGTCACTGGTGTAGGGTTCCCAAAAAGGGTTCGGGGTCAATGCAGACCTAGAAGGGTTCCTAAAAATAGTCTGGTGTCACCAGAAAAAGGAGTCCCTAAGCTACAAAGACGTCTTGGGCTACTACTAAAGAGTCAAAAGCAAGGGGTCAGGTGATCAATACAGAGGGGTCAAATAGATAAACATGTTTAAGGCCAAACAATATTATGTGTGTTTCAGGTATCCTGACCTACCCTAGATTTTCCTGCCGACCCTAGAACATCTTATCCACTACTTGCATGAAGTGTAAATTAATTAGCCAAGCAAATCATGCATGGCACTCATTAAAATGTAATGTTCTGGCATGTTACCTGAAATACACATACTTTTTTATTTGGCCTAAGTAAGAGTATGATTAAATGAAGCTCACCCAAAAGTCTTGTTTCCCGCTGCTTTCCCCGCTGCTTTTTTCTTCCTGCCTCCAAATTTCTGTTGTTGTGAAAAACAGGAAGAATTAACTTATAATCGTGAAGGATGGCAATTAGTCAAGAACGCAAATACCATTAATCAACCATATTATATATATTAAAAAGATGTTTATATTCTCATCAACTGGTCAGTTTTTGAGAAGTGATGATTACTGATTCAAACTCAAATTCCAACGATAAAATCTGTTGGCTATCCCTTTGCTACATAAAATCCTTGTGAATACTGCAAACACACTTTTATTTTTGCCCTATTATGAAAGAATGCATAAATAAAAGTAATCGCACATAAATACAATGTTTAACGGATGGACAGATGAAGGCCATATCATAATACGACCCGTCTATGGCAGGTGTATGCAAAATGTGGTAGGTCAGTTACATAATTATGGTCTTCCTAATATGTAACAGATGAGCTCGCTTCATTGAAATTCTTTGAGGAAGCTATTCTGCGGAAAGCACTGCACACTTGCCAACTTTTTGAAATTCCCATGGGCAAGATTCTGCATTCTCAAAATTCAAAACATAACTAAAGTGGGTGTATATACCCTCAAGAGAAAAAAACTTTAAAATTACCTATTTTGAGTTGTGCTTTCAGCTGAAATCATTAGATCTTAGAATATAGGATCAGTTAAGCAAATTCATTGGTTGAAAATGCTAAATATAAGGGTCCAAAATCGAGAGTCCTCCTCCTAAATAGGGAGAGTTGGCAGGTATGGCACTGACCAGTCAGATTGTAGTATGCTAATTAGACGTATGTGAATTCTGCTCATCATAGGACATCGCCAGCGTCCTCCTAGTAGTTTCAGTTGATTGGTGATTAGATAAAACTGGAATTGTGCCCAACCACCTTCGAACCCCTCCAATTGCCTCAGTAATTACTGTTGCCCTGTGATACAGGTGTACATGATATACTGACCTTCTTAAAGGAACCTCTCCCTCTTCCGCTTCCTCTCTTCTTGTATCTGCCAGAACCGGTCTCCTCTTCCTCGAAATAGGGTGATTCCCAGTCTGGGTCAGGCCCAGTGGAAGTCTGGTTAGCCCCAGATTGGGCCGCCTCACTCTCAGCTGCAGCTGTTGGAGCAAACATGGTGCATGTATTATAACATCAATAGACTAGTCGATCAAGTTTAAGGACCAAACCTCAACTAGTACATATTAACTGAAAATCGGAGCATAAACTATATTCATCTTCCTATCTTCCTATATTTCTCTATGAGAAGGTACAGAAATGCTGGATAAACATATACAAAAATGTTACAAATAAGGAAATTGCTCCGCTTATTAATTAACAATCGGTATTAATATCCATTTGGTTAATGTATATGATTCGTTCCCTACTGATCAGTAGAATTATAGGATGAAGAGATTGAAGCATCCGTACAGTATTGTATATACACTATATGGTTCCCTCTCAACATTTCATGACTATGGTAATTGTGTGATACCAGAATTTCAGAGAAAAAATAAGATTTTCAGTAAGCAGTGCCCATGAAAACGGGTTGAAATTTCCATTATTCTGAATTCATTAAAATGCTATTTCTAGTATGAAAATGGTGGTATATAATAAGAGCCATTAAATCTTTCGAATAAAGGGTAGGACTTTGCATTCTTTTTGCATGGCTATAATTTTTTTCTCTATTTTTTTTCTCTGTTTTATTCATTCACCCGTACATATTATTTCAACTTGACTTGCCAAGTCTTTGATTTGGAAAGGTTCAAATGTGACCTAAGGGGTGAATGGGTGATTGTCATTAGAAGTAACAGATAACTTAGTACCTATGCCTTTATCAACAATAATAGCACATTTCCCTCAGGAAAAGGTATAAATGTATGATCATCTCCATATGATTTTAAAGTACAGTTAAAAACAGCAGATTGGTAGAAACATATCTTATTGTACACTGACAAATGGATCAGAAACAATTTCTCACAACTTGGTGCACCTTCTCCCTAACAGTAGGTTGTGAGGTCTTTAAATGTGATGGAGACTTACTGGACATGAGGACACAATACTTGGTGGTGATGTCCAGAAAGCGATCGGCTCCATACTTGGTCACCTTGTACTGTGGCAAATTGTCTATTTTGTCGGTCATTTCATCAACGGTCAGTGGCGTTTCTTCAGCCAACTGGCGAAGCATAGCCAGCGGGAATAAACGGTCCACATTTTTGAATCCATGCTCTTGAGCTAAACATGTAAAAATGAATTGTTAATGTATTTAAACCTTTCACCCTATATAACTTTAGTAGACTCAATCATGCATTTATCAAGACAAGTCCATTATAGTCTACAGTATTCAAAGACTTAACTGTCAATAAACAAAAGCACTCTTTATTTAATTCACAGTTGTTCATTTACCAGAATTCACATATTGAAATTAATGTATCACTTCCTCATTTATCACTAGTGAATCCCCTGTGGATCCACCCCAGAACACTACCACATTTTCTACATAAGGAGTATTGGATTTCTCTTGTCTTTATCATCATAATGATTCCTCATTTAGTGTGCTGGTTTCCCTCAAGGTGCTTTTTCTAGGCTATACCTATTGTCTTGGCCAGTTCCAGTAGCTCAGTGTAGCACTCCTCCACGAGGTTGTCATGCTTGGACACTGTGCCCCGACCAATCTTAGCGACGGCACTCCTTGAGCGGTTACCCTGGACCTGTAGTTCTATCTACAAACACAGAACTGCCTGGTTAGTAGGAAATCAACAATGTGAGAGTTAAAGTTTAATGTATTCATCTTCTATGTGTTTAAAATGAATTTTACAAATAAAATGTTCTTAAAGGTTGTGCTACAGTCTCTGACCCGTGACACAGACGTAAGTAGTATCGGAAAACAGGTATAACGCAATACCCAGGCATATCATAAGGTAACGCAATATGGAGATGACATATCGCTGTATGAAAGTATTTTTCAAAAGCTTATTTTTATGTATATGCTTGGTGTTTTACTAATTACTAAACATTCTAACAGATATACCAATAACCATAAAACAGGCTATTACTAGTGATGGGAATCAGTCTAAATTTCCTTATTGATAGTTGGTCCGACAAAAAATCTTAATTCTGCATGATCCATACTATATATATGATTCAGTTTGATAATATTCTGACAACAATTTCTTTTTAAATTGAGCACTTCTTCCATATGACAATATATCGGGACACGTATCGTATGACAATATATCGGGATACGCATCGTATGACAATATATTGGGATACGTATCGTATGACAATATATCGAGATACATATCGTATGACAATATATCGGGATACGCATCGTATGACAATATATTGGGATACGCATCGTATGACAATATATCGGGATACGCATCGTATGACAATATATTGGGATACGTATCGTATGACAATATATCGGGATATGTATTGTATGACAATATATTGGGATACATATTGTATGACAATATATCGGGATACGCATCGTATGACAATATATCGGGATACGCATCGTATGACAATATATTGGGATACGCATCGTATGACAATATATCGGGATACGTATCGTATGACAATATATCGGGATACGCATCGTATGACAATATATTGGGATACGTATTGTATGACAATATATCGAGATACATATCGTATGACAATATATCGGGATACGCATCGTATGACAATATATCGGGATACGCATCGTATGACAATATATCGGGATACGTATCGTATGACAATATATCGGGATACGTATCGTATGACAATATATCGGGATACGCATCGTATGACAATATATCGGGATACGCATCGTATGACAATATATCGGGATACGCATCGTATGACAATATATCGGGATACGCATCGTATGACAATATATCGGGATACGCATCGTATGACAATATATCCGGATACGTATCGTATGACAATATATCGAGATACGTATCGTATGACAATATATCGGGATACGCATCGTATGACAATATATCCGGATACGTATCGTATGACAATATATTGAGATACGCATCGTATGACAATATATCGGGATACGCATCGTATGACAATATATCGGGATACGTATCGTATGACAATATATCGGGATACTTATCGTATGACAAATATATCGGGATACGCATCGTATGACAATATATCGGGATATGCATCGTATGACAATATATTGGGATACGTATTGTATGACAATATATTGCGATACGTATTGTATGACAATATATTGAGATACCCATCGTATGACAATATATCGGGATACGCATCGTATGACAATATATCGGGATACTTATTGCAATATATTCATTCTGTATTGCACTAGATAATGATACATTCTATGTGTATTGTGACACCCCTAGAAGTAAGGGTGGAGTGGAAGATAAGAGCATATTACACACCATTATAACACACTATTTTCAATGTCAGAACTGGAGGTATATTTATATCAAAATCTTTTTTCTCATCCATTTCATGTATGGACAACAGCAATCAAATAATCTTAATAAAATAATTCAATTTTAAAGTTCTCACATACTAACTTATTACCGACCTGTATCTCAGAGTGAAGTCAGTATACAGTCAAACTCCCATAACTCGAACTTTGAACATTCAAATTTCTCGATGTGTCAAACTTACGGCGAAATCCTGATTTCCCCCTTATATAACACTTATAATATTCTACTCATGAATCAAACTTTTATGAATATAATTTCTTGCTGTTTGGAAGTATAATCAAGGCCCATTTGTTAAGAAACCATTGAAAATTACAACTAATAAATGGAAGTGAAATACTCACCTGTTCTCAAAACTCACCTGTACTCGTTGACCCGTGGTCATTTTAACAGTACAGGCTTCGGAATTGACAAAGAAATGTTGAATTTGATAAGAAATCCAATACTTTTATCTAAAACTAAATGTCTTAGCCTGTGTTTTGTCCCATATTTAAAGAATCACATTTTGTATTAATTAAGATATCCATCCCAATGTTGAATATTCGAGAGTCGAAGTCCTGATGTGTGCAATTTTTCTTTATGGTCCCGAAAAGTTCGAAACATTGAAGTGTGACTGTAAGTTATTTGGCAAACTACACAAAGTGACAGTTAAGTGTTTATAATAAATGTCCACTATGGCCACAGATTTGAATTCCGCATAAAGTTTATTGTAACTCAATCTTGTCTACATCAAAATCCATGAACTATTCCTGCAAATTTCGTGGTTTCCTAACAAAATACCATTTCATGGGTACATGAGTTCTTGGATTAAAAGTTCCCCTTCAAACAGAGTATTGCTTTATATCAAACTTGTAATTACTTTGTGGACCTATGAATTCTTGGATGAAGATTACTCACAAAATCAACCAAAATTAAAAAACCTGTGAAAATGAATGATTTCACAGTAGAAGGATTAGAAATTCCAGAAATAAAGCTTTCCTGTTTTACCTTTTTGTTGCCCATCATGACATCGTTTGCGGCTCGTCCTATCCTGATGTAGCAGGCCATGTGTTCCATGGCTGTTGTCTTCAGGTGCTCCATCAATATACCGTCTATAACTAACTTCCGCAGCAGTCTCTCAGCATCATGGCGGCTGTAGCTTTTTCCTCGCCCATGAAGTGGCAGCTTGTCATGGCCTTGGTCTTTGATTTTACTGTTGCTAGAACCTAGGTGAGAAAGTATGTATTAAGCAGGACATCCACCTCATCATGCATATATTATTATAGAAAATTTAAATAGTGCTGCTACAAATTTGGTTTGTTTGTCCTATTAACAGCTATGGTCATTTAAAAATGTGCCAGAATTTTGTGGTGGATGGAATCTGGAGTATGTTGAGAAAAACAAACGACTTGCGTGAGCACCTGGC